TTGTGTGAGACTTCTGCGGAATTTTGATTTGTTTCTTTTCATACAACTTTAATTCCGTTACTAGTTTAGTGCTGATAATTTTGGCTATTTTTTTGGTCAAAGTTATGACATTTTTCCCCAAAGTGCTGAACACTTTAGACCCAAAAAAACTTCACCTCGGTTGTTGAGAAAAATTAATTTATTTTATTTAGCTTTCTGTTTTGTAAGTCAAAAAGTTGTATGTAAGATTTTATAGATCAGCATAAGAGGACTAAAAAAGGCTAAAGTTTATACCTAGTATTAGAGCGGCCAGACATACAGTCATGTGAAAAATAATAGCCGCACGACTTTTTTCAGTTTTGGCTATTTTTCTTTGCCAGACCTACAGTCGTGTAAAAAATAATAGTGACACAGCATTTTGACCAGTTTTGGCTATTTTTCTTTTGCTTGTTTAATGTTTTCTATTTTTTATAAAAAATACAACTCATTATCAAACAACGACCATATATGTAAGTCCAAATATCAAACTTTATAGAAATATTATAAATATTTAACAACATTTTACAAGAACAAACTTAACAACAAAATTTTTATTAAAAATTTTTTAACAAAAACTTAGTATGCAGTTTTATGGTCCATTAATTTCTAGCTTAAGAAAGTACAAGTTTCATGTGGCTGAGAATTCGCGTTGATTTTTTGGTCGTTTTTTGCAGATAGTGTTATTATATTCTTCAACACGAAAAAAAATTGTCGAACATAGATACCGAAAGAAAATGCGTGACACCGTCAGCGAAAAAAAACTTGTCAAAAATCAATATTAAACTTGGGAAAATTTGGATATTGTATTATGCCTTTTTTTTTAATATAAAATAATACACATTTTAAATCGTGCGATTTTTGATTTAAAATTTTCAATATAGGTATGTATGCATGAATATACGTATGTATGTATGTATAAAAATATTTTTGAATATTTGTTTATTTAAAATTTTTACTATGCGTAAATTAATTTTAATAAAAAAATCGTCGTAGGCGAATATCGGAAGTAAGAATTCGCGCGAGTTTTTGTTCAAAATTTTCACTATTAATCTTTTTTTTTAAATAAGGGCGAAATTCTACATCCCAATTTTCCTATTTTACAACGCGTTTTTAAGCTTAGCTTCCAGCTCATTAAAAATTGCAAGAAATATTGTTCATTATTTCCCTCAATTGAAAAAATATGTATGTAAATATACGAGAATTTTTTATCTAGAGAGCTGTAAACGGACGAAAATCATTTCATAGTAATTTTTTGTTTTTCATTTCTTCAGCGTGTTTTTATACGATTTTTTTTTTTTTTTCTTAAGAGTTGCCTTTTTATCACGTTATGCGACTATCCTATGAATGCAGTTTGTCTGCTTGAACGTCAGACTGGTAGCGCTCTTGGCAGTCTCATCTACTATATTATACCCTCTATTCCTTGCAGCCTTCTGTTTGCGGTCAACCTATCAATGGCTTCCCAGCTACGAAGGACGTTTTTGGATGAAATACTTTTTGGGGCAACTGCCTTAATTGCCGCCTGACTGTCTACATATAAGTATACTTTTAAGTTGGTTCTCGGCACACTCTCTCTCTTTTAACCATTTTAAGTCGTTTGTAAAAATGTTGATGGTTCTGCGTTTAGGTTTAATTCCCTTGCATCATCCCTCTTCCTCAGTTTTTATGCGAAACCCTTGTACCCCATGAAGCAGTTGAAGGTAGTTCCGAAAAAATTTACTAAAATTGCTCTTCGTCGAAGGTGTTCTTAAATATGATTCTATGCTATATTCTGGAACTAGAGAACCTTTTTAACAGAAGAAAAATTTAAAGTATAACTTTTGTGCAAAATATTATTGATAAAAGAGTCGTCTGAGCTGAATTAACTATTACCTCTACCATGTTTTATCTATTCGAAAAAAATGTACATATGGTCCGTTTTTCTTGAAATTCGGTACACGTATTATAGATATGCATAGAATAGAATTGAACGATTGTTTTACAGTTGGAAAGGTGTTTTAAGGCGCCGCAAAGTAATCGGGTATTGGCTATTTACGTATATTTATTATCTATACGAATTATACCTATATAAACAGAAGTCCCCTAGTTTTATAAGAGGTGATCTTGCAAACGGCTGTACCGATTTCTTTGAAATTGAGGACACCTTTTGGTTATAGGCTGATTATAATTTCGTTATATCAAAGGAGTGTGGCATCTCCCATACAAATCGAATTTCTCATACCGCATATCTCTGGAAGTATTTGTGGTAGAGTTCTTGAACTTGATATGTTATAAATCCCATACTCATGGAGAAAAGTGGGCTTGGCGCCTTCCAAACATACTGAAACATTTACCTATCTGTAAATACATATATAATTCTAGGGTACGTGTGTTTGTGATTGATCTCCTCTTAAAAGAGGTTCACAACTTAAAACACCAGGTGGCGCTGGAGTCGAGTTAGTACTAAAAATTGTATTTACGATCCGATCTGGCTAATATTCAAAACATGTATTGGTAACGTGAAAGAAAATACTGCGGCGAAAAAAAACTGCTCGATAGTGGCTCCGGAGTCGAATTATTACCAAAAATCGTATTTTTGAACCGACTTGCCTCATAATAGAGATATACTAGTGAACCCGCATGGCGTTAAGACGCTAAAATGGAGTTTAAATTTTAAACTGATGGCAACACGTAAAGTAAATTCAAGTAAATTCATCCATCCCTTTTTGAACGAAGAGAGGTCTCAAATGGCGTCGGTTTTTCATTTCATCAAAATTCAAACTTCAACTTCAAAAAATAAAACCTTAATGCACATTTAGAATGACGGTGCTGATCTGATGACCTCCACATAAAAGATCTGATGGCCATAACAAAAAAAAATATTTATTTATAAAAATTAACCCTAACTAATTTTTTCGGTATATTATGAGTTTATTCGAAATAACATATATTAGTTATGGAACCCGATTTCATCATGTGTCTGTCTTCGCAGTAGCGTATCCTGTTAACCCAGTTCTCCAAGACCTTGGTGACGGTTTCTGGCACTATCGTAAGAAATGCCCGACATACGCCTTAAGGGCCTGAATCGTTAAAAAATTGTTCGCATTATATCGGTCCTTCACGGCATGGCACAAAAAAGTCTAAGGGCGTGAAATTGCGGCTTCGAGGGGGCCAATTGACTTCATCGAGACAGCTGATAACACAAGTACCGAACTTTATTGCTCAAAATAAAAATCGAATAGATGGCAACCCTAACAAAAAATATTTTCAAACTAAAGTTTTATTAAAACTCTTTCTTTTGCCACTCATATTTTAATATTTCATTAAAATTGTGTAAAAGCTAAATAAATTAGGCTTTTCAAATAGGTGGCAACCTTCTGCGAAGCATTTTCAAACTAAAATCTTTCAAAGCTCTTTCTTCTGATACTAATAATAACCTGAAGAATTAAATTGAATTTAATTTTTTTATCACCTGGCAACTCTCTTAAACAGTTCAGATATAAATCCTTCTCAAACCGATTAAATCACCTCTTTTAGTAATTTATTTAACTTATATATTAACTTAGTTTATTAAACTTAATAGATCATTTAAATTTAAAATTTTCAACAGCTGTCAACACTCTTCAAATCATCAAACAAAATTTTGAAGTTTAAACTGAAGATTTCTTAGCACTCTTTCGTTTAACACCCATATTTTAACACTGCATATAACTAAATTCGGCTTTCAAAGCAGGTGGCAACCCCTTTCAAAACATTTTCAAATTACTACCTTTAGTCTGGACCCCTGTGGGGGAAAATTTTGTAAATTACCTATGTAATTTCCCTGTTTAAAATTTAATTTGTTTTTTAAAACAGGGGCAACACTCTCACAGTTAAGACGCCAAGCTTTTAATAACCATTTCGACTGATACCTATGGCAACTCTTTTCAAAAAGTAAAACCTCATTGCACATCTACATCCAAGCCTTTTAATTTGATACCTCATTTTTGAAAATGAAACGAATGGTTCGGATCTGATGATCTGGACAAAAGGTCCTTTCGCGTATTATATATATAGATATAATTAAATTCGACCTTCTAAACAGGTGGCAGCCCTTTTGAAAAGTAGTTTCGCGCTAAGATATTCTTAAATATTGTTCGTCTTACATTGAATACATATCTTAACTAACTGATGAATTAAGTGGAATTATATTAATTAAACATGTGGCAACTCCGCTAAATATAGTTCAGAAGTAAAGATTTTTCAACCCCCCTTCCATTGATACCCATATTTTAGTAAGTCATTTAACTTATTTAATAATTTGAATTTAATTTTTAAACAGGTGGCAACCCTCTTCCAACACCTCAAAAATATTTTTGTGTTCAAACTAAAGTATTCTTAATATTCGTTCGTCTCACATCATTATTTTGACATTTCACATAACTTCTGGATAAGTTATTTAAATTCGACATTGCAAGAAGGTGGCAACCGTCTTCAAAATATTTTCAAACGGCCACCTTTGAAGCCCCTTTCGTTATGCGCCCATATGTTGAAACATATTTCTCCTAATTAATTTTCTTAATTCAAATTGAATTTATTTTTTTAAACAGGTGGTAACCCTCCTAAAGTTAAGTTAAGAAACAAATATTTTCAAAACCCTTTCCACTGATACCCATTTTGTAGTAATTGATTTTTTTTTAGATAATTTGAATGAAATTTTTTAAAAGGTGCCAACTCTTTTCAAAAAAGTAAAACCTTATTGCATATCTGCTGTCCAAGAGTTTTAATTTGACACCTTATTTTGGAAAATCACTAAAATAACGAGATTTGAAAATTATTTCAATATTTTCTTACATCTTTCAAGTTCATAGATTTTTTTTTCAATAAGTACAAATTCAAGTGAAAAAGATTAAAATTTATTAATTGTCGAAAAATTAAACGTATTTACCAAACAAAGAATTCATTTTATCTATCTAAATCTAAATTCGTGCGTCCCGTCGCAAAAAATTTATTGCAAAATAGGTAATCCAAAGATGGAGGTTGAGAAAAAGTTGTCGTTGCGTTCCACGACGAAGACGAATTGCGTATCGAAGACAGCATTTAACCAAACGAAAGCTGGTAAATGCCAACGTCCTAGTGGACCGCTTCATCGCAATCCATATTTGAATTTTCTACGCGAATTTCGTCAGCGCAATTGCGGTCTCTCAGCTGTGGAAATCATACGACGCGGCGCTAAGGAATGGAATAATATGGCAAAAGAGAGCAAATTGCGGTATATTGAAGAGGTTAGTATGAGAATTTTTTGCGCTGTCAATGATGTTCAATCTTAAGTATTTACCTTAGGCTTTTTATGCACCAAAGAAAAGAAAACTACCGCTACCGCCGCCACAGAAGCAAGAGCAGCAGCAGTGGCAGCAGCAGCAGCAACAACAGCAGCAGAAGCAACAGCAGCAGCAAGTGATAAAGCCGACACAAATGCGGGTGGTGTCATATGCGAAAGATTGCGGCATAGTGTGCCCTAGGGCAAATGATGGTTGTAAAAAACGCCGCAAGAGGCGAATGGCTAAATGTGGACGCAAAAGGCGGCCAAAGATGAGTTGCGCCAAGAAACGACGACCGAGGCGCCGTGCTTGTCGAAGGAAAAAGAGGCGAAGTTGCAGAGTCTAGTGGTGGCGCATCTATTTGACAAATTTCAGGAAAATGAAAATATTTGCGATGAATTATTAGGTACTTATACATATGTATGTGGTTCGTGAAGAGTCTGCAGTACGCACTTTTTAAGGCGACTACTAATTGTAAAGTTTTTATGTAAATAAAAGTAAATATATGTATGTATATTTTCTAGAAAATTTAGTTTCGATTTGGAGAGCATTTCTAGGTGAGAGAATTGATTTCACGTTTGGAAAACTGCAACGGTATTATTATTATTATTATTATGGAAGCATAAATAAATTTATTGGATGTATTAGGGTGTATTCGAGCAACAATTAAGTCGGCAGTGTTATTTTTGGCGAAAGAGCATCATGTTCTACGCAAAAGTTTTGACGATTATCAGCCTGATCATGAATATTCGGCGAAAAATTTCTTTGAACGAAATCTTTCACTTCATAGTGTAATAAACATTAAATTATGGTTCACTTCATGGTTCACTTTATCTTGAATGTGGAACAATTTTGGGTGAACGGCATTTCACATAGATATTTCAAAGATGGGATAAGAGCTGTTAATGCCATTAAATACAATTTCAATTTTAAGCAAACGTACGAGTATTTCATTAATTTGTGAAAATTTAGAAGCAGTTTTGCGATTTTATCTGTGAGAGTGACATTTATTTTACTGGTAAATACAGTATTGCGAAAATGATTCGAAGTGAACTACTCCGCATGGCTACTTCGCTTAGTGAATATTTAACATACAATAGGTGAACTGTATGGGCGAAATTTGAACGAGTTCACATGAAATGAAAATTCATGATGAGGCTCTATGTCTGCATCACGCGTTCGAAGAACAAGATTTTGTCAATCAGTTGCTCATCACTAGCAAATCAAGGCTGGTATGGTGACTTGCGAATCGAGCAATTTCCATTAAGTGGCTTCGATGCCACAATACCCGCCCCAATTGTAAAGTAAGCAACTTTATTGCGCAATTTCTGCAGATTTTTGTTTTTTTTTAGATTTTGAAGCTACTCGCTATAACTCCGCCACTATCGAGGTCTGTCGAGTGCATCCATCTCGGAAAGTGGGTGCTGAGCAAGTCTTCTAGCGACTCCTCGCTTGAATCGGTCCAGTCCCCGCAACTCTTACGTATAAGGCTAGGTGCGCTTGGAATCTTGGTTAGAAATTTTTTAAGCCTGTCCACCACGTTTGTTTCCTCTAAGTTCTCACAGAAGTCCACACAGGATTTATTCTTAGCTCCTCGCACTTCTTTTTTATGTACATATATGATTTCAGTAGGCCTTTGTGCTCCCCCCCAGCAGCATTCATTATCGTGATCCCAGCTCCCTGTTCCACCACGGGCAGGATGCATTGTAGGCATTAGTAAGGATCAAAGTTAGTGTTTGAACTCCTTCGTCAAGTTCAACCTTTGTCTTGTACCTGCGCGGCTTAGCCTGCATTTTTTTATTTAATTTATTCAAAATGTTTTATAGTACATATGTGCTTAATAAGAGCCTTGATTATTTTCTTTTCCTCTTAGGGTTACAATATTGAAATCAAATTATCGATTTCCAAAAACAATAAAACCCAATACTTTGATTATGATACTTTTAAACAAAGATAAACCTAACCTAGAGGGTTATGGGTATCCGATTATCCACAATATGGAACTAGTATCTTACTAAGGCCTGGGCAACGCAATGAGCGGCAAAGCAGCGAGCGGCTGAGCGGCTTAAAATTAAAATATATGAAATACATAGTACTATTGAAGTGGCCACGCACCGAGCGGCTCGCCGCTTTGCCGCACACTGCGTTGCCTCGACCTAAGAGAGTTAGAAAACAACGTCTGACACTGATCGGAACTAGTGTTGCCAGGTTGATGTTTTGGTCATAACTTTGAAAATTTTTACGGCCATGATGATTTGACGATTTTTTCACCCAGTGACAATTTTTCTTTATGTGCGAATTGGGTTGATTCTGAACTTTGAAGATAATTACACAGACAACTAAATATTTCAGTGTAAACACTTGTTTGCCATTTCTGCTAATACGTAATTGTCATATACGAATTATATCCTGTGTTTATCCAAATACCGATATACTTAAAAGTTTCAAAAATGAAATTTGGCACTAAAAATTGTACCTGCTTAAAGACTGGCACACAGTTCTCAAGAAAATCGAAAAAATCATATAAAATCACACTCAAAACGTTCGTATATTTAGTTCTTCAAGAAAATTTACACCAACTCAAATTTTTTTTTCAAGCAACAAAAATAATGAAACAAATTCTTGTGAGTAAAACTGTGTGTCAAAACAAATGTTAAAGGGCTTATCCAAAGTTTCACTTATCAATTTTAAATTTATCAGACTTAGAATTTAAATTGTTTAATTTTCCGAACAAAATTGTGTCATTTTAAATTTTAGCAGGCTGATAAATTTAAAATTGATTGGTGCAGAAATGGTGGAAAAATTAAGAAGAAAATGCGATTTAATTGCAATTAAAAATATTTTTTTTTAAGTAATGTGACTTTAAAAAATTCGTAAAAACTTTTAACTTTTTATTTTTTACGTATATCAATCAGAAACAAGAACCAAAAGAGCTTACTGGTTCTGTATATTTGAATTTTTTATATGTTGACGATTTTTACGTGCAAATGACAATTTTTGAGAACCAAACTGAGGATTTCTCACTTCAGTGACCTGGCAACACCGATCGGATGGCAAGGATGGCTATGTTTTGAATATACATTTGTGCTGGAAAAACATGAACAACCAACTCTACAACCTCTAAAGCAGCACTTAATCTCAGTTATAATATGTTGAACATCATCAGTGTAATTGTAATAAAAACTTATTTGCACATACTCGTTTTTGTAATCACTTTGCAAAAAAGCACGTTCCACTGTGCAAATGTTAAATAAAACCAACCATTAAGCTCGCTGCCAGATATTTTTATATGCGACTGACAATTAAAAATGATATGACAGTGATATAAGAAGTGTATGTAAATGTAAAGAGGAGAATGGAAATTTAGCGAAGAATGAGTGTTTTATTTCCTGAAACATTGAAACTCCTGAAAGTGCATGTGTGCGTGACAAATTCTATGTAAGTGGCAACTCAGTAATTTTCGTTTCTTCCGCATTCCGGCATTTTCAGTTTTTTTTCAGCGTTACACTACATAAATTTAGGCGCATACACCGGCATGCACATATTTATTTGTGTTTGTATGCATTCGTGTACGTCCCCTGTAGGAAAAAATAGCAATTGACAAAAAAGTAAACCACTTGTAGTTAGGTTTTTTGTGGGATTTCGATAATAGGTATAACATTTAGTGAACTACAAAAAGCTAGCTTGAAACTAAGTGAAAAGGAATGCAGGAGTCATGCAAGTGTCTATTTAAATACCCTCAAACAAATTTTACTTTGAATACACTTTTTTTCTACACTTAACAAATACTTTTATGGCCGTTTTTCTGAAGTAATCTTTAACTTTAAAGCTCACTTTATATTTAAAGGTTGTATTAAAAATAAAGCTATGTCTATTGGTTTTTGACGTATGTATGTTTCTTGGTTGTACACCAATTTAAAGCCGACAAGAAAATACTTTACTTTAGACACCATCATAAATTTTAATGCAACCTTTAAATATAAAGTGAGCTCTAAAGTTACAGGTTACTTGAGAAAACTGCCCTTAGTAAGCTTTCCTCAAAGAAAACACATATCGTCGGTGTTACTGCTTAACGTTCTATGTCACTTCTTACCTCTGGTGCTTAATTGATCTGTTATCTGTATCTGATCGCTTCTGGCAATCATTAATCATCATTAGCCAAAGGTAGACAGTTTTTTTGGCAATCGTTTATTAGGGTGTAACGATTTGCAGATGCATTCCGATGCAAGTAGGAGACCATGTAGGTGTCAAGTGTACTAATAGACTTAGACCGTTTTGCAGTATCGCCGACGAAATATAGAAAATAGTGACCTTTAGTTCCTTACTATTTAACTTCAAGTTAATTTCTCGTTAGATACATTTCCTGCAGGGTCTACACGCACGGAAATAGTATGCATACTTCTTTATGTACATATTAGGAATGTTAGTCCCGGGATCCTGGGATCCCGGCCTTTTTAAGGTCCCAAAAGTCCCGGGATTCTTGGAAATTAATTTGTAATTTGCACTGCTGGCAAAAATATACCAGTATTGGCAATATTTCTTTTTTTATTTAAAAATTTATATTTTTTTTATAAATGTCCAGCTCATTATACATATAACACCGTGCAATAGTAAATTTTACACACAAAACTCAATATATTCGCGAAACCATGGGCCAAATATAGAAAAATTGCGTTTTTAGTTTTTCACTCTGACGTCAGTGATTCAAAAATTATTTGAAAAACTCAGTGAAATGTGCCAAGAGAATTTTTTCTCTTACGGTTATCACATTAAAGAGGAAATTCTATAGAATTTAAACAGATGAAATTTTTTGGTGCATAACGACTGGTAAGTATTGAAAATGTCCTTTTATAATTTTATCCTTGAAATTTCGCTATATTTGTTTTTGAAAACATTATATGTCTAACTTTAAGCTTTTCAGCTTTAAAAATTACCTATTCATCTTTGTGAATCCAAAAAATTTTAATTTTTTTAAATTCTAAAGAAATTTCCTCTTTCATTTGGTACCCATATTTTTATTCTACATTGGGTTGAAATTTTTAAATAATTTTTGGCACTAATCATATCTTTAAAATTATAAAATCCTTTAAAATAAATCCTGACATCAAAGATGAAAAATAAAAACGCCACTTTTAATAAAAAAGTAGGTTTCAAACCCATTTATTTATTATTTATTTTATGGTGATAGAAGCAATTTTTCCGATTTAAGTTGTTGAAAAGTAATGAATATCTAAATCCCGGGACTAATCCCGAAACAGTCAACATCCCTAGTACATATTTATGCATGCAGGTTTTTTTTTCTGCAGACACACCACTCATTAAAAGGTCTTACTGGTTAGAATTTTG